GAGAGAGAGAGAGAGGAAGAAAGTTTTTTTTTCACTTTTGTGTGCAGCACGATAAAACGGGTTTCTAATTTAACTCATTCCTTTCAGGTACTACTCCACACCGACAGGCTCTAAAGTGCGCTCTTTGTGCGATATTCAGAAGTATGCTCTAATATGACATTCTTTGTTAATAGAAGACAATAAAAAGAGTATCTTTTGTTGCTATCTTTAATCCTTGGCAGTAATTTTATTGATCAAAGAACAAATAGAATAGAGACTATTGATGGAAAGGTATCAATTGAAAGAACGCATATATTGATGGAAAGATTATTGTTTGGTGGATTTTGTGATGCAGGTATTTGGCAGCACATCCTCAGTTTGTTGAAGGTGTTAGTATGTCACAGTTTTCATTTCGAGTCCCGAAGCCTTTGCAAGAAGGATATGTCAGAAAGCGGTCTCGTGCTCCCAAACCTGTGCCTATTATGCATGCGCCTTTGAGAGATGATAACAGGCTCCCGCCTCCACTTGAGCCCACTAATGATGGTATGTGAAGAAACCTCTATTTTGTTACCAAGTTTGGCCTGGTTATTGGTGATTGGAAATAAAATTTTCAAAAGAATGGGGAGATTGGACTATATTAGGGATTCCAGCTGAAGTTCATGATCTATCTGCTATGTTTTTTTTTGGGGTGGGGAGCGGGGGTGAGAAGAGAGAGGTGGGCAGGTTTTTTAGGGAGAGAAAGGGGTGGAAAGGCAGATTCATATGTCACACTGCTTAACCTTTATTATTGGACTGGGGTTTTCTAATCTGAAATTATGCCAGATGTAAGGATGTAAAACATATTCGAAGCCATAGATGTGTATATGTATGCATGTGCCCTTATGATTTTCTTTGTATGTTTGCATTCTTGTGTCATTGTGTGCATAAATAGTAACTAGTACATAAAGAACTTTATTAAACGTTAACCGAATATCCTTGTACAGAAAATACTACACCTGCAGATCATTTCTTTCTTATATCCATTTTTATGTTATTTTGACTCGTTATCGTGCTTTATGTGTAATCATGTATGTGTTATTATGACTTACAACTGATTATGTACTATGTTCTCATGGCTGGTTGACATGCTTTATTTTTTCAATTGACATACTTTATGCATATCTTTTGGGAAACTTATCAAAATACACCTATGAGATTAACTATTTAACATGTTACCCATGTGTTTTGTATTAATTTCAAACTGCCCATCAAAATACAAATGATTTTGACTTGGAATATTAGAAAAAATGGTAAAATGTTAAATAGTTGAAATGTGAGGTGTATTTTGATAAGTTTCCCATGTCTTTTTTGCCACAACTCATTTTATATGCCTGATCTTGGACAGTGTTGCCTCAACCTCAACCTCTTGCATGGGCAAGCCCAATGCCACTATCAGCCGTTGGGCAAAATGGTTCCCCTCCCCGTTCTAACTTCTGGGAACCCTCGACTTCATTTATTCAACGCCCATCAAAACGCCAGGTGCCACCTTCAGCTTTTCAACAGCCGGGTTTCAACACTTAGGACACTAAACCAATGCAACCATTGAAGACTATAGTTCAAACACAGGGTTGAAGCCCAAGCAGAGCAACATATATATACATCTTCCTTTTTTGGGTCTTGTTTCTGCTTTTAAATTCTGTTTTGGTAGTTCTTTGGTTTTTCATGTGTTTTTTTAAAGTGTCATATGGTGGGATTTTTGGGTATATGTGGGGGACTTGTTGTGGACTTATGTCTCCATAATTTTACATGGTGGGTGGACTTCAATATAGTTTTGGAAATTCTTGGTGGATGGCTCTTGCCTTGTATTAGCTGAGAGCCTTCCCTTGGTGTCAGTAGATGTGTGCAAGGTTTTGTTGTATCAGACTTGATAAGCATAACCCCTTTCATCATTTGATCTTTTGATCCTTTTCTATTATGTTTTGTGGTGGCCTCTTGTGATACATCTCTCTCCCCTCTCGGGCAGTGATTTCATGCAATGGTTGTTTCGTATGCAACGGTTGCATCATAGTATAATGCAAGGACATTTTTAGAAAACCTGTTTGTGGTATTTGTATGATCTAAAATTTTGTACATATATTCATCATCTCAATAATAAATCCAAAAAAAAAAAGAGTTCAATTTGAACCTTAGATATGGTCAAAATGAGTCCCTTTAAAAACGAATCTAGACCATTCGTTTGGTGAAGTTTAAGATCTTAGCCTTTACAAACTCAAAATCATCTAATGACGATAAAGCTATCCAAAAAAATTGGAAATGAAAATATTCTTCTAAGGCTTAGATTAAAGCATCTCATCAAAATGAACTGTTTATGTTAATTGGGCCAAAAACATACTTTTTAGGTCGTGTTTTCAATTATTATTTTTTTGTAATTGTTCATTAATATGAGAAAAGTGTAAATTTCAAATTTTGGATCAAACAAATGGCCATAACATGGTTTTTAATGGTTGTATCATATTACTATATACATGTAATCATATATATATATATATATATATATAGAAAAGATCTTGTGCGCCCAGGTGTGTACTGCTACAGTAAACGCCTATGGCCCAGATTGAATTTGGGTCGATCTGACGATCATGGATGTCCGATGGTGTTTGAATTTTAATTTTTTTTCTAAAAGTTCAAATCACTTGAAATTTTAGATGTGTGTTTTTTATAAAATAGGAGAATCTACGAAAAATATTAAAAAAATAATTTTTAATGAAATAATTTGATTAAAATACCCCTGAAAAGTATTGAGTGGTATTTTGGCCAATAATGTTTTTGCGAATTATTTTTTGTTATATTTCGATTAGGTGCGCCTTGATGAGAAGAACACACGTCTAAAAGTTTAAGTGATTTGGATTTGTAGAAAAAAATATTAAAATTCAAATACTATCGGATATCTGTAAGCATCAAATTGGTCACATAATGGCTCAGATTCAATCTGGGCCATTCGCGTATGGGCATACAGCAGTGATTCCCATATATATATATATATACGAGACATATTTGCATTGTTTAATTTATAAGGAGTAGCTATCGTTTCATACAGAACTATTTGTGTCTGAGAAGTTGATTCTTCTTTCTCATTAGGAGTTTTAAATGATGATCTTGTAATTTTAGACTATTTTCAAGAGGATGGATAGAAGTAATCTGTTTTCCTTCTGGTGTATTAAAAATAGTAAATTGGGATTCAAGTGTTTGAAGATTAAATTCTGGTATCGGAATGGAGTGTTGATTTAAGATGTCTTT